ATCTGATAATTGTCCAAAGTTAAGAGGTTTACCCTTTCAATAATCTACATGCTGTAAGTCATTGGTAAGGGTCATTTTTTTATTCATATCCATACAAATTTGAGTATATATAAAAATATAATTAGAGAAGCAACAGTTCAAAAAAAAAATATTCTATTCAATTCAATTTAAAGCACATGCACATGAGTAAAAAAAGGAAATCCGAAGAGACCAAACAAATTATATACTAAAAAACAAATACTTATCATTCTAAGCTAATGATACAGATTAAATTTCCACTATCCATTCTATATTATTTATTCTACATGTAAAACTCACTTGTGCGAGCACATACAAAATACTTGTTATATTCTATACAACAGTGATATCTATAGAAGATGGAAGAAAGAAAAGTGGCACATGTTCGAGTATAAGCTTTAATGGTCATTTTTTAATACAAATATTACGATCATACTCATTTTTAGCTATTTGTACTAATTAAGTGGTGAAGTAAGGAAAAAAAAAAGAATAATACAAAACCACTAGCTAATAGAGAAAAAAAAACCCTGCAACTAGGCTCTTAGACATAAAAAATGGGGTTTCCCCCCTCAAGAAACCACCTTGGAGAAGAGTCATTTTACATAGATTACTTTTTATTTTAAATTTATACATAAACCACCTTTAAAGTAGATTTTTGTTCTAAGTAACAATTGCCTAGCAAAATCTTAACTAAAAAACCAAAAAAAAAATGCAAGTTTATGGTATGTGACTTGTATTCTAAGTGGACCTAAACATTAATGAAGCGAGTCAATGGCTTTTGAATTTGAGTTTTTATGGACTTTTTTAGTATTTTTGGTGAAAAATTTAACTTAGAGATGGTTGATTGGAACAAAAACTCACGTTAAAGGTGATTTGCAAATAAATTAAAAAATTAAAAGGTGATTCTCCTAAAATGACCATATTTTAGGTGGTTTCTATGATTAATTAGCATATATTCTTTCTATCTTTCTTAGAAATGGTCATAATTGACCTTTGTGCCTCAGCATGGGTTGTCTGTTGCAGAGTATTATTGTCTCATTGACTTCATCCTCACTCTAAGGGCAACATTAAAACAAAACATATAATACTCTTAGCGGGCTCATAATGGAAGATATTCCGGATATTGTGGACCAAAATCTATTTTTTAAAAAAGGATAAAAAATTGATTAAGCTCACATCAACTAAGATCCAGTTGGACATATTAATAGATTTTTTTTATTTTTTAGATAAATACTTGGGAAATTGTCTTTTCCCCATTTTCTCTAGCGTGCTGAGAATAAGACGATGGTTGAATCCCTGCATGATATAATTATTAGCAAAATGAAAAATAAAGCTAAATAGAGCGAGGGACATCCTAGTTCTTTTTTTATTTATCACGAGTGAAACAACTGACGAGTGGACAGAAAACAGAAAACAATATACAGAATGTAATGTTGGAAATCAGAATGTATAAGCTTATCCAAAATGAACTTATTTTTAAAAGAGTTTAGGTATTTAATTCAAAATAGGATGAAAGAATTACAAGTTTATGTCATTTTTCTTGCGATATATCTAGCTAGACATTCTAATAAAAATAACCGCAAATAGATCATTCTAATGAAATAGCTAGTATTTACACATTTCTTGTCTGCATTGGTCATTTCCTAGAATTTATATTGAAAATAATTAGATGTATGTAATTTTATTAATTTTTAATCAACGATTAAGATTAAAAATAAGATGTATATAATTTTATTAATTTTTAATCAACGATTAAGATTAAAAATAATGATCTCTTCATTATTTTTTTTCGTAACAGACAGGATACAAATTAATTAAAAAAGGTCTCGAATTCCCAACGGTCAACTTCACTAGAAAAAGACCCGGTTGACCGTCCGTAGTGGGCGGGGGTTGCAGCCGGCTCTACTCTCCCTAGTCTGCCCCTTCCCTACTCAACATCCACGTCATCATCCAACGCTGACTCACCGGCTACAGCGGTCGCCTCTCTTACCAACCCCAGCGAGCGCCCCTCGGGCCAACGGGGCAACGCCCCCCCCCCTCTCCTCCCCTATTAAAACCCCCGGCCTCCGATTCGTCAAGGCTGCTCTCCGTCGTCAATTTCTTCGGAGCTCCGGTCTTTTCCCGGCGGTTTAAAATTCGTGCCCCGAGATCTCCCTCCCAAAAAAGGAGCTTCTTTTGTTCTGTTGAAGAGATCTCCAAGGTTCGCCCTCTCTTTCCTTCATCCCAAAATTTTCTCCATTTTTTGGATTTTTTTTGGGGGTTTCCCCGTTATTTTCGGCGTATTTTCCTGTGGGTTTTGTCCGGTTTGTGAACCGAGGGTTAGATTTTACACGACCGCTTGGGAAATGTTAGCTTCGGTTGTTTTTGTAAAGAAATTTGGCGGTTTTTGCACTGAATCTTCACTTAGATATGCTAAATCTTTGTTTTTTTGGAAGTTTTTTTTTTGTCTTTCTGGATCCTTTGATCGCGATCTAACGATGCGGAAAATGTTCCTTGTGCTTCACGCAAAAGATCGCTACTTTTTTTTTTTTTTTGCTTCGCATCATGTTTTGTTTCGGATTAAAAAGGCTCTCTATCAGCTGACATTTTTGTTTCGGAAAAAAATTTACCCCATTGCTGTGATTTGAGCGTAAATTTGGTCGATAAATGCGAGACGCTCTTTCCTTTTGAAGTAAATTTGGCGGTTTTCCCACTGAATCTTGGCCTTAGATCTAATAAATCTTTGTCTTGTTTTTTTGGCAGTTTTTACTCTTTCTAAACCCGTCGATCTCAATCAATCTTATGATGTTGATGTGCTACTTATGCTTCGAGCAAAGGATTGATTCACGTGCTCCTTTTCCCTTCATTTTTGTAGGATCCCGATCCCCGTGATTTCTCTCCGCGCGCGAATCTCAAAGCAATGGACAGCTTCCCTGGTCTCCGCAAAGTCTCATCCTACGCCTCCATCACCGACGTGGACGAGGTGGAGATCTCGAAGCTTCTGGAGAAGAAAAAGGTCAACCTTGAGCGCAAGAGTTCCTTCGACGAGAGGTCCTTCAGCGAGCTCGACGGGTACCGGTCGGGGATCGACACGCCGTCGTCGTCGATGAGGAACTCGTTCGAGCCGCATCCGATGATTGGGGAGGCTTGGGAGGCTCTCCGGAGGTCGATGGTGAACTTCAAAGGGCAGCCGGTGGGGACTATTGCTGCTTATGATCATGCCTCTGAGGAGGTCTTGAATTATGACCAGGTATACTTTGCAAAACTTGGTGATATTGAACGCGAGATATGACAGAATTTGGCTGTTCTAGTTTGGAGAATTTCACCTTGTTAATCGTTAGGCAAACACAGAAATACACAAATAAGTGAAAGCACATGCACAAAAATGTCAGAAATTTACTGCTGAGGGGTTTGGAGTTTTATTGCTTGAAGAAGAATATTACAATACTTTGGGCTCCAAAACATATGTTTCGCCTAAACTATTATGTTTGTTCGTGCATACTCCCTTGAGCTAATTTCAGTGCCATCGACCCCTTATGATTCGTTTGGCACGCGGGAATGAGATCGAGTGAGAATGCAACGAAGTAAGGAATGGAATGGAATGAGTGTGAGAATGGAATGCTCATTTCCATTCTCATGTTTGGATGCGCGATTAAATAATGAAGTGAGAACGAAAAATCATTTTATTTTTAGTATGAGTAACTAATAAGAAGTCGTGGCATATTTGGTATTTAATTTAATTTTTTTCATTCTCATTTAAGTGAGAATGCTCATTCCCTACCAACTCAATGGGAGTGATTGTTCCCATAAAAAAATGGGAGTGAAGGAGAAGTGGAAATGAGCATTCCATTCCAGCCTTAAAAAGGTGTTGTGTTTGGCCTTAAATTCTTCTGTGTTTACCCCTGAACTAGTTTTAGTCTCACTTTATCCACAGACCTATCACTTTTAGTGCCTAGTTACCCCTTTAAGCTTATTACCTTACGTGTCGGATTTATGGAAAGAAAGTGACAGTTCAGTGGGGAAGGTGAGACTGAAAATAGTTCAAGGATGAACGGTGGAAAATTTAACAGTTCAGTGGGTAAGATGAGACTGAAAATAGTTCAAGGTCTATGAGTGGACAAATTCAACATATTAGGGGGTAAATGCCAGAGCCATTTTTCTTTTATTATAAAACTTAGCTGAAAACTTAGATTATTGCATATGCACCGAGTCTCAATATCAACATGATTGTTTGATTAAGACAAGTGGTATGGTGGCACTCAAAATCCTAGAAAATGTGTTGTAGATCGTGCTAATCATAATGATGACTGTGGAGTTGTCGAACAGATGATTCTTTAATTTTCTTATTTGTTTGTTCAGTCAAACAAACCAATATCAGATCATTAATCTACTCGTCCAGGATGTCGTCTTTATGTCTTACTTGCCAGCATTTTAAAGGTCCAACGAGGTGTGCCATGCATCGAGTCTTCATGAGGTGTATATTTTAGTACGTGGGATACAATTGAAGCATGCGCTTCAGGTCTCATATGTGCCTATCACATGTTGGCTTTCGCCTACATAAACAAGATGCGGTTTTCTCCACATGAACAGAACCAAAATGGAATTCCTTGGGCTGATTGAAAATATATAGGCAGATAAATGTCTAAAAGGGTTAGATATCTACAGTAAAGAGCCAAATGCTAAATCTCACTTGTACTTTTGCTATAAGTTTTATTTTATCTTCATAATGGATATTTTAAATTTGAAAAATAAAAATAATGAAACACTCATGTAGCTTATACCTCATGCTTTGTGGTCCACATTTCACCTCACAAGGAACATTTATGCTTCATCTCAGTTGTTTCCCCTTTCACAGTATTCCGTATGTTACTTTGTCTACTACATCTAGTATATCTCATAGTACTATAGTGATTATTTTTCATTCCAGATTTTGATCTATTTCCAGCCTGGCAGCACAGTAATTCTATAGTAATTATTTATCATTCCAGATTCATATCTATTTCCAGCCTGACAGTGCTGTAATCTGAATATAGTTAGAAAATGATTTTTGTAAGGAATTGTTCTTTATAAAAGTGATAGCAAAACCATTTCTTGCATTAACCTTCCACTTATCCGTCCATTGGTTGTCTGATTTTGATCTTTTCCTCTATATATAGGTCTTTGTTCGTGATTTTGTACCAAGTGCCCTTGCTTTTTTAATGAATGGAGAGCCGGACATTGTTAAAAATTTTCTCCTTAAAACACTGTATCTTCAAGGGTGGGAGAAGAGGGTAGATCGTTTCCAGCTTGGGGAAGGGGTCATGCCTGCAAGTTTTAAAGTGCTTCATGATTCTGCTAGGAACTCTGACACTCTAATTGCTGACTTCGGGGAGAGTGCAATTGGACGAGTTGCACCTGTTGACTCTGGATTCTGGTGGATTATTCTTCTCCGTGCCTACACAAAGTCGACAGGGGATTTAACTCTTTCAGAGTCACCGCAATGTCAAAAGGGCATGAGGCTTATTTTAGCTTTGTGTTTGTCAGAGGGATTTGACACTTTCCCGACATTGCTTTGTGCTGATGGATGCTCTATGATAGATCGAAGAATGGTAAGGTCATCTTGTTTCACTTCATATTCTATTGCATGCATGACACCTTTTGCTTTTTAAACTAGAGCATTAGGTGGTATCTGCCGCCTCACATTCAACCATTCAACCGAGCAAAGTCCTCTTATCATTTAGTTGGAGACATAATATGTACTTGTGACCATAATGTCATGAGCCACATGCCTTGAAAGTCTCTTTTGATTTCTTGCATTAAAATGCTGGTTAAACATGCCCTTTTCTTTTTCTTGTATTTGAGTGCGGTTGGATGTGTCTTACAAAATATAAGTCAAGGTTATGAAATGAAACTGTAGAAAGACAACATGAAGATACAAAGGAACATAAGTGATTTATGGCCTAGAAATCTTTAAGAATCAATATTTTATTGCTAAGGATAAATTATTAAGATCTGAGAGGTTATCAGTACTAGAGCTAATTAGCATGGTTCAACTGTTCAAGTGGATAAAGCATGGTTCAAGTGGATAACTTCTTCTCCAGTAGTTCTCATGACTTTAGGAAACTAATGCAAAATGATGTATCCTGGCCTTTCATTACCTTGCTTGTAATGTATCAAGTAAACGCAGCTTAGAAAAAAAAATCACATGATTTAGTGTACAGTGTATTAAAAAGAGAACTAAAATGTACTGCTGGCAATGGACATGAGAAAGCCAAAGCACTAGGGGTGCATTTGGTCCAGATATGGGTCGGATATGATGCTTACCATATCCATATACGCTTTACCCATCACGGATACGGATAATGATATATCTTGGTAAGAAAAATTCATATCCATATCTGCTAAAATCGGATACGGATATACATGCGGATATGCATGCAGATACAAAACGGATATGAGAAAACTAGATAACATTAAAAAAATATAGTTCATGCGATACAAAAGAGTTTATTAATATGTTCATTATATCTGAAAAACTAAGATTAGACATCGTGATCATCAAAATTAACCTCAAATCCATAATCTAAGGATTAAAACTATTGTAACAGTATGAGCAATATGCACTCGGATATTTCGGATAAGGATCCGGATATTTCACTACAAAATCATATTCGTAACCATATCTTGTTGGTTATAAATTTGAGTAACCATATCTCTATCTGATAGTATTTCCTCAGATACGATTTAGCACCTCTACTAAGCACTATCTCACTAGGGAAAGCATTTCTATGAATAGCTTTGGATTTGCTTTCAAGCATTAATTTATGTAATTATTCATTTATATGTTTTCATTTAGATTTCTGCCTTCATAAATTTTACCTTTATATTGGAAGCGGTTTGATTGTTGTTGTCAATATATAAAATGTTGTTTTGTTCACATATTATGTTATCATGGTGTTCTCAGGGTATTTATGGTTATCCAATTGAAATCCAAGCCCTTTTCTTCATGGCATTGAGGTGTGCTTTGGCGATGCTTAAACATGACAATGAAGGAAATGAGTTTGTGGAACGAATTATCAAACGGTTGCACGCCTTAAGTTTTCATATGAGAAGCTATTTCTGGCTTGACTTCCAACAGCTCAATGATATTTACCGCTATAAAACAGAGGAATATTCTCATACAGCTGTGAACAAGTTTAATGTCATTCCTGATTCAATCCCGTACTGGGTTTTCGATTTTATGCCAACGAAAGGTGGTTATTTTATTGGAAATGTCAGTCCTGCAATGATGGACTTCAGATGGTTTGCACTTGGGAATTGTGTTGCCATTTTATCATCACTTGCGACACCAGAGCAATCTATGGCTATAATGGATCTAATCGAAGCGCGATGGGAAGAGTTGGTTGGAGAAATGCCTCTGAAGATAAGCTATCCTGCCATCGAGAGCCACGAATGGAGGATTGTTACGGGTTGTGACCCCAAAAATACTAGATGGAGTTACCACAATGGAGGATCTTGGCCAGGTTAGTGCACATACACCATTAAACTTTTAATTGTTAACTGCATTTCATTTTCCGCGTGTCTGAGAAAGTTAAGATTTAATAGGTAAACTTCCAAGCTATATTTGTGTCAATGTGTTGACTACTCCCGAAAAGAATGGTCTGCTTGTCACTAGGTAACTAAATTTGTGATACAAACCATATGAACTGAAAACCCTAAACCTTTGTCTGAAAATAACTATCAGCCAATATCTAGTTAACTCAGGAAACTTTACATCATAAATCAATCAAATTTATGATATGAGAACCTTCACTTTATGACTGTTCATTTGATGCCTAGGTGAAAATCTTCTTGATATTGATCATTATTGTCGACCCATCCAACCTTTACTGTTAAATTTCTAGGAATACATTGTGCATCATAATTGAACAAAGATCTGCCACTACGGGTAAGTAGTAGAGAACCTGCCTCATCAAAACCTTAAGTAGCATTTATCAACCTCATTACATTCCTTCAGTAGCACTAATCAACCTCGTCAATTCCTTTTCTATAGAAGAAGAGAAGAGAATTGAAGGGGGCAAAGAAAAGAACTCATCAATTCCTTCAGTAGCACTTGCAACTGATTTACTAGCACTCACGGGGGGTAACATGTGCTTATATAGGAGTTGATTGAAAGATATGATGAGCGCTACTGAGAGTACTATAAATAAGAAGGTCATCTGCAAACTGTGAAAACTCTCCCTTCAATAAACACTGAAACTGATTTCATTGCTAACTGTGAAAACTTTCCCTTCATTTTATACGCAGTCTTCTATACAAGTACACTGAAACTGATTTCATTGCTAACTGTGAAAACTCTCCCTTCAATAAACTAATCAGTAACTTTTTTTCATTCTCCTCCTTTCTACCCTTTCTCCAGTCCTCCTGTGGCTGCTCACTGCAGCATGCATCAAAGTTGGCCGACCACAAATCGCAAGAAGAGCAATTGACCTAGCCGAGGCACGGCTTCAGAAGGACAGCTGGCCAGAATACTATGATGGCAAAGTAGGCCGATTCGTTGGCAAACAGGCAAGAAAGTATCAGACTTGGTCCATTGCAGGTTACTTGGTTGCAAAAATGATGCTAGAGGATCCCTCACATCTTGGAATGATCTCCCTGGAAGAGGATAAGCTGATGAAGCCTCTGATCAAGAGATCAACATCCTGGACTTGTTAAAAGAAAATCGAAAATGAAACTTTTTCTCATACGATTCTTTGGCGATAATCTCATCGTCAGTACAACATTAAATGCTAAAAAGTGTGTTTTGTTTGCTCGGTATTATTCATTTGGTTCCTCTTTGTAGCAAAGAAACTAGCATCATGTTAATTTTTACCTATTTGCTTGCGGAGTTCCTTTTCTGTTTTGTTTCAGTTTACTGAGAGTTATATAGATACTAATATTAACCTTCAGAGACATGTTATGGCATTAACTATAGTAACTTTTTGTAAAAATTAAGTCTGAACAAGTTACATTTTGCTACATTGCTGCTGTTGTTTCTGTGGTAGCTTTTTTACCATTTAATTTGGCACTATGTATTTGGTAAATTTTTGTAAACGAAGGTTATAAGGAGGTTTATCAATAAGTTAAATGTTGCTTGACCTTTTTCTTTAAGTTAAAAGCTGAGTGAGTCTCACAAACTTACCACAAATTATTATCAATTTTTTTCACAAAAACACTATAAAATATTTTCATTAAAGAAACTACTGTAAGGTTTAGAATCAACAAAAAATTACCACATAAAAAGTAAATTGCTCAGTACTTTAGTGATTTTATCAAAGATTATAGCTTTTATAAAATATGCATAAAAAGTTCATGATATTTTCAATTCAAGGATAAATTTCTCGTAACTTACGATATTTCTTCTGCTGATTTGGATATTGTGATGTTTTTGTCCTAACGAAAATAGTTTATTATACATTTGTGGCTAAATAGCACTTAAATACATTATAGTTTCACTCGGTTTGCATTTATATGCTCTCACTTATTTTTCACGGCATTTATACACCCCAAGTCATTTGAAATTTCAATATTAGTACTCTTTATTATGTAAACGTAAAAATTTTCACGCGAAAGATTTTCATACCACACTTAGGTCATGTTTTATTATTTTGTGTAAAACCCTTAAAAAGCACCGTGGGTAGTAATTGAACTGTCCACATAAAGGGAACTAGAACTCGCCACATAGGATTTTTAGTGGCCACGTCATCCAAGTAAGCCTTTAGAGTCAATCCGCACGTGATTGTCATACTGGAACGTTCACGTAAAAATTTCACATATCCAAATCAGCATAGGGCCCCACAGTGCCAATTTAAAACAATTCAGGGTATAGGAACGCCACGAAAAACAAGTGAGGGTATGTTGGTGCAAATTGAGAACAAGTGAGGGTATGTTGGTGCAAATTGAGTGAAACCACAAGGTGTTTAAGTGCTACTTAGCCTAATTTTGCACGTAGCGCCAAATAGTTTGTGGTATTTTAATGTTATGTGGTACGTTCCCTGCAAAACTTCAGCCCATTCTCTCCAATCACAAAAAAAAGAAGGAATTTTCACTGTAGACCTAATCTCAGATTTAATCCCTAAAATCGATCAATGTTAAATTTATTTATGAGAATTGACCTATTTTTAGTTAATTACTGTACTAATTAGTCAGGTTGTCAACCCTGACTAATTAGTAGTCTAATTACAAACAGAGTTAGGGAACATTGAAGATTTGCGGCTACTAATTAGGCTACTAATTAGTCGGGGTTAACAACCCCTACTAATTAGTATCGTAATTAACTCAAAGTTGGTTGATTCTCATAAATAAAGTAAAAGTGGGTCGGTTTTAGGGATTAAATCTGGGATCGGGTGTGCGATGAAAATTTAAAAAAAAAAAAACAATCTTTTTGCCTCCTCAGTCTCCGCCGATAAACCCTAGGGGGAGAAAGAGGAAGACGAAGAAAGAACCAAGCTCCTCCAATGGCCTCCTCCTCTCTCCTCCCCCCTCTCTCCCCCGCCCAGCCCCTCAATAACCCTACCCTCCTCTTCTCCCGCTCTCCCTCCCGCTTCCCCTCGCTCCCCAAAACCCCGAACCCTAGGCTCCCCTCCTCGTCTCTCCTCGTTAGGGCGAAATCCAAGCTCAACGGGGCCCAAAACCCTAAGGAATCCAGCAAAACTGCTCGAACTGTCGAAGAGGAGGAAGAGGTGGAGGAGGACTTGCCATGGATTCAGGAGAAAGCCCTCGATCTCGTCGAGTTCACTGGAACGGTCACCCAGGCCATCCCCGGGCCCAGAGTGGGCCGGAGCCCTCTGCCGTGGGTTCTAGCGGTCCCGCTCGCTTACGTGGGCCTCTCTTTCGTCGTCGCTGTTGTCAAGACTGTCAAGAAGTTGACCTCGCCGAAGGCGAAGAAGAAGAGATTGGTAATTTTGATGGGAAATCTGCGGGTTTTTGTATGTGGGGTTCCCCCCCCTGAATTGTTCGTTCCATGTGAGGATTGTTTTTCGTGTGCAGGTGAATAAGAATGCGTTTCTGTTGAGGGAGATTGATGAATTGTTTCAGAAGGGGAGGGGTGGGGTGAGCAATTTGGCGCTCAAGGGGCTTATGCAGAAGGTATTTTTTTCTTAATTTTTTTTGTTAAAATGCTCAAGGCGATGTTTTTGATGATAAGTAGGGTATTAGGGTTATCTTAGGACCATTATGGCGCCCTTAGAAAGTGTCTACTTTTTTTTTTAATAGTTAAACATTTCGTTGTTTATTTTATGAGTTGAGCCAAAAGAATTCCCCAGATGTAGAATGGTTAAATCTTTTGAACTCTGTATCTTATCATTGCGTCGTTCGCTTAGTTCACGGTCTTTAACTTTCACTAACCCTTGCTAAATGTTTGCCTTAGTTCAGCTGAGTGAATAATGTTTATATTTACCTTAGAACTTTATCCCCCTAACTGTTATCGTTGTTTCCTTTTGATTCAGACAGGCTTTAGCATGGATGATATTTTAAGAAAGTACATCCGGTATGCACTGAATGAAAAGCCATTCAATCCCGATCTGGTTGTTGACCTCATACATCTGAGGAACGCATCTATGTTGGAAGATCCGCAAGTTGCTGAAGTTTTAAACGAGACTTCAAGACGGATTGTTAAGGAGAAAGGTGATTTTTTATATCTTCTTTTGATTTTATGGTATTTTTAGTTGTCCCTTATGGCTTCTCTGGCTGATGCTTAACAACAATTGCAATTCCATGGAGTGGAAAACTTTATCCACCATAAATATTGACTGTAATTCCTTAATTTTATTTGTTCTGTGAAACATTACTGCTTTTGAGCCCGTACATACCGTTTCCTTGTCTTCATCTTTTGATAAAAAATTGAAAGATGCAATATTCAAACCTTACTAAATGTATTGTTTGAGGCAGAGCTGTTAACATGGAGGGTCATCTTTGGTTGTTCCAAACTAGAGAAAAAAAATGACGATGCACCTTGTCATGCACTTGATAATGTTCCTTTAGGCATTAATCTGTTTCACCAGAACATCATATTTTAATTCCAATGTGTGCTTGGGTATCATATAATGATTCATAAATTTTCATTGTCATGATGGAAGCTCTCATGCATGGATTTATAAATTGTACTTAGCTGACATCAGTTTTGTTGAGTCATGCCTGTGCCAATAAATTGTAGTTTGTTTCGAGGATAGGGATTAGATGAAAATGGCCATCTGAACATTGGTTTTGGAAGGAACGCGTTCTGTGTCTCTCTCTTTAGCTACTTCTGTTTGTCTTTGGGATCTGTGCAGTTCCCTTAGTAAATCTTAACATTTTATCCCCGCGAGTTGAGTCTATGTTTGTGAAAGTTTTAAGGTTTTTTCTATGAACTTCATGACAGAAAAGGTAGTTTCTCCATGCACCAATTATCCTCCTGCATATTATGGCAAGATTCTCTCTTACTTTTAGGTCCTGGGCTGAAGTGTTCTTTACCAGCTCTGAGAGGCGTCGTCAAGTTAGTAGAAGTTTGTTAAGTTGGCCATCATTTTACCGAACCTTCTAAGATTATAGTTATGGTCCATCCTTGTCTCCACTTGTTTTAAGAGAAAGGTTTATGTGATAATTATAGTGATACCCAAGTGGAACATACTAAAATTTTATTGGAAACTAACAAATCCCTCCTCTATTAAGTTATATGCAATGTAGTAATCCGATCTTTACTGGCTATTTAAAATTAGATTAACAGTCTGTTACAACAATAATATTAATGTAACAAATCACAGACTCCCATGAAGCACAATCATGACATTAGCTGCAATCTCCAAAGTTCAAGCCCGGGAAGTTTGTGAACTAATATTAGTTAGGAGTTTCTTTTGTAATAAACTAAAGTCCCTTTCAGGCTTTCAACTTAACTCCATTGCCAATGCTTTCAGTTCAAACCACTTCAATCAATTGAAATCATAAGCAAGTAGCAATAAACTCTGTAGACCCTTTAGAGCCTCTGACCATCATAAAGTTCATAGTTCATAGGTCTACAGCTATGAAAATCTTAAATTGGAAAACCTCTCTATTCAAATATAATCGACCTGCAGAATATTTGACGAAACAGTTGCTAGTAATATTTCCTCCAGTCCTTTGTCTTGTTCTGGTACCACAATTTTTTTGATGTCAGTTTCCAAGAGAGGAGGTATGGAGAGGGAGAGAGGGAGCATGGGATGCCATGTAGATGTATCACATTTTGTCTGTCTGTGCATGTGCATCTTTATGTACGTGTATTAATTTCCCAGTCCATATAGACCAGGTAATTCAATATGCATAAAAGCACATGCAAACACGGACGTAATACTAAACAAAATGAGCTATCAAGATCAAGGAGTGGTGAGGTTCACCTACTTTAATGTTCTAGATGTGATCAGTAGCGTGGGTTTCACCACTAGCCTATCTCTTGGTAGTTCATTTAGCACAAAGTGCTGCCACCTTATACCCATTTTTTGATACACCACAACAACATTACTATTATTAACGCTTGTAATTTATGTTCTTATTAAGCAAGTCTTTCTCAAATTTTATCTGCTATGAAGGAGGAGTATGATGCATGCAAGGTGAATTGCATTTTAGATTATTTCTTTTGATATCAGATTTAACTGAAACATAGAGTACTGAACGGTAGGTTGGTCAATCCAGGGGTGTATCTGTGTATGTAAAACTAAAAGCTGAAGCTAAAAGCAGCTGAGCTCAACTGATGGGATAAAGTTTGTTGATTTTGGTTATAACATTGTGTGTCATTTTCTTCTAACTGGAAAGTTATCTGTGTTCCAGGCCCAGTTGTTATGGATATATCAGGATTCACAGAAAAGGGTTTTAAGCGAAAGCTTGCTGTACAAGCCCTATTTGGGAAGATTCTCTACTTGTCCGAGGTAACTTGCACTTATACTTTCTCTTTCTTTGCTTATTAGTTATTGGTGATGAATGGATATAGTAATTGTAAGTGAATATCTCAAGTATTATATAATATTCTGCATTTCGTTATTATCTTTTAGTTTTCCCCTCTTACTCTTTTAACCTACTTTTTTGTCCTTCAATTTCTTGTCTTGGTTACGGTAGCTCTTCAAATACAGTTATGCGATGAAGAGGCAGATCTATCCTATGCTTGAATGAATTCTTAAGCTGTTTTATTAATAAGTTGAAAGGCCAATGTTAGCAACAAGAATTTCTATATAAGGCATTATATTACCTATAATTTAATCTTGTCCTCATGATGTGACTTTCCTTGCAGTGAACCCACAAACTTTTTCTTGGACCTAATTTGCTACTCTTGCTTCTAGCTAGTGACCTTTTTCCTTAGTAAGACCTTAGAATTGTCATCAATGCATCATTGCTGGTATCGTTTATATCATATCATTTAATGCAAGCGTTGGCGCTCTTTGAATAATGTATTGTGCCTGACATTTTAATGCAAACACGACAACACACTAATAGACGGAGTGTTGCTGATGTTGTATGAGCGTTGCAATAACAAGGTAGTGACATGTCCAGAAGATTTTTGACAAAGAAATTCAATAACACGTATCTTACTTCTAAAATTGAGCTGCATGCTCTACAATCTAACCATGTGAGCTGTAAACTTGGATTCGAATGATCGTTTAACAATTTTCTTCTCCTCCTTTAGTGAATAGATTCCACTTGGTTTGCTGAAAAAGATGCATCAATGTATTAGAGGATAAAATAAGTCAGTCTCGAACTTATCTCAAGAACACTGCAAACAAGAGTTGTTTGCTTATATTTTGGTTCTTTCTCATATTGCCTGCTCATGCCTTATCGTTTTGTGATTTAAGTATGCAGACTTGCAGTTTTGGTACACAAATTTAGTGTTGCAAATTCATTTTATTGTTTAAAAATAACATACTACAATTACTTGATGAATAGAAGTAAGGTTCCATCCTTTGCTCATTCTCAAGCATGCATATCAAAAAAGCCTATTTGTCATGTTCACTCAACTAATGAACAACCTTCAAAATTCATCGAGTAAGAGAGATCCTAGAAACAGGAGAATGCTTCCATTTTGTAGGGGAATGATATTCGACTACAAGGTAGTGAGTAAACCTAATTGCCAAATGCAACAAACTGATCTTCGACTACTAGGTAGTGAGTGAACTTGATGCATAATATGCTATCAAGCTACTTTAATCTTTACATGAGGCTTCTCTTTATATAAAGTAAAGTTTAGAAGCACTAGATACATCAGTAATATATGAATGCAAATTAATATTCATATTCTGAAATTAAAAAATGTTTGTAACACACAAAGATTAAAGAGGTGTGTAAGGTTTATCAATATATCTAAGTAATGATGGAGTTGGTATACCAATGAAATTAATTGGTATACCAAAGCTGAACCACAGATTTATAGTGGTTTGGCCCACCTTACCTATCTCCACTTGCTAAGGCCTTGGTAATTTCCATACCAAGCTTCGTTATGCTAATCTTGGTGCTTGCCAACTCAATTGATACCCAAGACGAAGTGATTGGACTTCATCACTCCCTCCATTGAAGAATGTTCTCTTCCCACCAAAGAGCATATCTTAATACAAGCGTATGCAACACTTTTTTCTCGATGACGAGTGACAATAATGAAAACTTGATTCTCCCCTCTCATAAAAGATGTACAAAATGGAGGTTTTATGTCTATTGATCACAGAAAACTATGTTTGGAAAATTGAATAAGTTATTGAATGTGTTGCATTCAAGAACACGAGCCTATAAATAGCTCCTTGTCGAGAATCAGAAAATGAAGCTAGAAGATATTCAAATTGAAGATAAGAAATAATTATTCAAGTCTTTTTTATAAGTTAAAAGGTTAGAGTTATTACTCTAGAAATTAATTCTTTCTCAGATTCTAGTCGCTTTTTGTCCTCTATTGTTTCACTTTTCTAAGGAACATAATATCCATTAAATAGAGTTCATTTAGATATGAGATTAATCTATAAACTATTAGATCATAGCAAAAAAGTAATTGTCATGTATATGATTGAACGTAACAGTTGGTTCTCTAATATGGATATTATCATCTCACTTACATTCCGGGGTATGACAGGAATGAAAGTAATTATATAGCCAAAACAAGAAAAACACATTAAATCCTTTAATGGTTCAATAAAGAGCTCTTACTCGAAATGACGCAAGGACGACTGGATGAATATATTTCTTCCTTTGATAGAAGTCACCTATAAGTGTTGTGACATATGCTATATAATCTTTACATGAGTGCGTATCATAGGCGAATTGCCGCATGAGTTGTGCTATATCAAAATCAACTAACTTGGTTTGACATAACAGAAACAATATTATGGGATGAGAACTTCAATTTTGAATTTGAAAAGGGACTAAAGCTGCTCCCTAGGATGACATGTCACATCACATGATTACCCAAAATGAATAAAATAATATATTGTGAGAAGAAAACCCGTCTTAATATGAGTTATTTATACCGACAATTTGCTAGATATACTAACAGGAAAGAACAAGGCCTACTAAAGGAATCTTACCATCTTAGTAACTGAGAGGTCTTTAGAAAAAAAAATTCTAAAGATTGAAAGTTGAAAAATTGCATCTAGTCCTAATTTAAGTGACCATGAAGATGCAGTAGCTTGTTAAGGAAATTTATGCAAATGATTCAAATAAAGCTCGCTAAAACGACTTCTATAAAAGCCCTCTTTGCAAGTTGATGTTGGATCAACTACTTATAAAGGACAAATTCATGAGAGACAAAAGGAAGAAAGCATTGTATATTTCCGAGAAGAATCAACACTAAGCAATTCTGGTGATGGGAAGAATGCAAGTGAGATGCTAAATTGGGAATTTTCAATCCTGACACATGTTTGATGGCTTAACAAGATGACATAAACCCAAAATTAGATCCCTTTTTTTTTTGAATTTTCAGTATTTAGCAAATCTTCTCTAAAGACACTTTTAAGTTATATAGGTAACAGACTTTGCATGATTAAGTTATAAAGTACAATCATCACTTCCAAAGAAAATCAGTCTACAAAGTTCTGATATTCTCTTAAGTCTACTTGAGATATTTTTCCTCAAATTTTTTTGAATATCTAATTTGTTTTAAATACTTCTTTCAGCTTCCGGAGTTCTGCTCAAGGGATAGCTCCCTAATTATAAAAGAAATATTCGGGGTTACAGAGTATGACCACTACCTCTTATTACCCATTTATTGTTTTTGGGGTTAATTTCGGATACACCTCCTTTAGTGTCACTGATTTGAACTTAACATTCCTCTAGTTTATTTATGCTGATAGACGTCCTGAGTGAAAATGTTTTGATGCTTTTACTCTCAAAGAAAGATAAATTTGTCATTTTGGCAAATAGACCACCAGGGTTAAAAGAGTCAAAAAATTCAATCAATGGGTCATCTGCAGAAATAAAACTGGAGGGTAGTAAATTATTACTTCGATACTATAGGGGGTCTATGTGTATTTAACCCTTATTTCTAATCATGTAAGTTGCATTTCTTCTTGTGCTAATTTCCTAAACTTTATACACAGTGAGGACGCAGACACCCTTCGGATGCACACGCTATCCGAAAACAGTGATATGGAATCCCTTGAAAAAATGGTCGATGATCATGATGAGGAAGAGGCCGATGAAGGGAATTCGGATCAAATGAAAGTTTAATACCCTTAAAAGAGACGAATAGGCGCAATTCATGCAAAAACTACCTGCCAAACATAGAAGAGCTTGCTTTCCCCCTGGTATTCTTCTCTAGATTGAAGAGATTTTGTAGTCCTCTTTGGGTTGTGTAAATGGTAATATTTATGTTCTATGCCTTGCATCCTCATATTGATATGAAGAAAGTAGATAAAATTCCATTATGCGAAGAATTTCTTGGTAGTGTGTTTCAGGTAATTAGGGATTCTTTGATGGTGTGACGTAGGTAATTTCAGTCACTATAGAGCACTGTAGCTTGGTAGATATTGTTTGTGAGTCAACTAGCTATTGTTCGATCTTGTCAAATATTCTGAGCAACTCTCCTACAAATTGCTTTTCATCAAGTTTAACTGCGCGTTTTGCTGCTCTTATTCTATTGTTTGTTTGAGATGAAAGCATTTTTTTTTTAACTCAATGCATTTTGGTGCCCTCTCCGCGTTCTTGAATGCTTCAATGTTGAATGCCTCAGGACAACTGTAAAGATAACAGTTATAAGGTGTTTTTTTTTTTTTAAATTGGCTTAGTTGCACTTAAATACCCTATAGTTTCCTGTGTTTGGCACTTACGTACTCTCACTTGTGTTTGGCACCCCCTGTGTACCCTTGAGTTTTTAAATTTTACATTTTAATAACCAGAAATGCAAATGTGAGGATTTTCCCCCGGGAAATTCGTATGTCACACATGCTAATCTTAGAACTTTTTAACCATTAATTTTTTTTAGATTTATTGCTAAAACTATAGCAATTTTAATCTATTTAACAAATATTAACTTTTGAAAAATGTTCTAAAATTAGCAGGTGAGTTTTAAATGACGATTTTTTTTTGGATAGACTCGCGCGTTTGCAAAAACGAGGGTATTAAAGTGTAAAATTTAAAAGCAGTGTGGGTATATAAGTACAAAGTTAGGGAGACTATCCGGTATTTAAAATTTCCAATTCCCAATTACTGTAATTAAGCCGTTCTTTTTAAGTTAATTTATCCTAAAGCACTGCAGCACTTAACCGAATTGCGCTAATTAAATTGGTCTGCCGCTACGCAACTGAAGTATATGCTAACTACATTCCTTAAATTGTACACAAGTAAAGTATATGCTAACTATATTCTTTACATTAGCTACCTGGCTAAATCTAACCAACTTAATTCTAAATCAGGAGAAAATGAAATTGGACCTAATCGTAAACTTATTCCAAGGGCTGATACGAGTTTTAAAAAAAAAAAGTTAACCCGTTGAGTAAAGAGATAACCATAACAAGAACCATAATAACTCCATCCAAATAAAACCTTATTTGAGATGGTTAATCATTTAATTTGGTGCTTAACTACATACATCCTAACCACCTCATCTCGTACCTAACTAGCTAAGTATGAGCAAAGTGGCAAAAAAAAAAAAAAAAAACAGTCTAATTCAAAGCTTTATACTATTTGGCTAAGTATGAGCAAAGTGGCAAAAAAAAAAAAAAAAAACAGTCTAATTCAAAGCTTTATACTATTTGCTTTCCAAAGTTTTCACTTTAGTATCTTTTAAAAAGAAAAAAAAGGAAGAAAAAAAAAACAATATCTCATCCCAAATCCAACGCAGCATTTAAAGAAATAAACTTCAAAACTAGGAAACAAAAAGATGAAGAGATTAAAATATGATGATCCCTTCATCCCTCCGTTTGCTTCTGATCTTTTTTACCTTGCCTTGCACACTCAGGCACCGCGTTCTAAATACAGCAGGCGCCAATCTCGTATAGAGTTTTCCTTCTCCATTCACAGGAGCTTAAACTTGAACGTGCACCATGGACCTGTTCTCTAAACTCTTCATCTTCCTCCTCTTTTCATCATCAAAACCAATCCATGCCTCCGGTTTCTATCGCTTGGAGCGCGAAGATCTTCTATATGTTCGCGACTCCTTGACTTCGACGGCGAACCTCCATTCTAAGTGGACAGGCCCTCCTTGCTTTGAGAACCAAACCAGATGGATCGGTATCACTTGCTTCAACTCCCACGTCGTCGGTATAAACCTCACCGGGATTCAACTGACAGGGTCCCTCCCGCCGAAATCTCTTCAGCACGTCGCGTACCTCGAAAACCTGAACTTGAGCGATAATGCACTTCATGGCGATATTCCAACCCTGCAGGGTCTGAATAAGCTGAAAATTGTTTCTCTGGCGAGAAATAAATTTTCAGGCTCAATCCCGGAAGGTTTTATGGCTTTGCCGAGATTAACAAGGCTAGAGCTTCAAGATAACCTTCTGAATGGAAAGATTCCATCTTTTGATCAGAAGAGCTTGACGGAGTTCAATGTGTCGTATAATTTTTTAGAGGGTAAAATTCCTGAGACTAGTGTGTTGCAGAGGTTTAAGGCTAGTTCATTTGATCATAATTTGAGGCTTTGCGGGAGACCTTTGAATAAGCCATGTCGAGGGTTATCACCTTCGCCTTCGCCTTCGCCTTCAATTGTTCCTCCATCAATTATGCCATCACCAACTTCAGGGCCGTCAAGAACGAAGAAATTGGAGAACTGGGTTTTGATTGTCATCGGAGTTTGTGGGGTAATGGCTCTTGCTATGATTGTTTTGTGTTGTTTGTGTTATTATAAGCGAAATCGCAAAAAGGAAACAATGAAGAAGCGTGAAGTTTCAGGTGTGTAACATCCAGACATAATTCCAGCATTCAACTTTTCTCTTTTATAGTTGTCTTACATCAATCTGGTATCGAAAATTTATGCACATAATTCTAGAGTTGGCATTGTTGATAACAGAACATTGTTAAGGATAATGTGAACAATGCTAATTGGACGTCAGGAGGATGTCGACATTTACTCCTCAGAAATTTCATAGATGTAGAGATGATTTTAATTTGTAGATATAACCTTGGCGTTTCAGATTTTTTCCCTTTCTTAGCAGAATCTGTTGCTTTAGTCCAGTTGATAGTCGTTTCAGTTTTGATCCGGCACTAAAAATGTATGCATTTACACAGTTAGACTTGTTGATTGCTAGTCGAATTATGAATACTGAAACTTCATTTAAAAGGCAATTTTAGCATCAACTGATTTAGAATGAAATACTGCTGAAGTAAATGTATCTAATTCCAATTAGACTTCGCGATCATGTCCAGAAGCTGTCTATGGTTAGATCAATACAATATAAGCTATAAATACTATCAGGAACATAATTACTTTACTTTCCCCTTTCTCCAGTCACTTTTCAATATCAAAATTTTAATAATGTGAACTCTGATTGCAGGGGAAACTTCTTCAGAATTCCCTGTTAGCAGACCAGGAGGTTCATTGTCCGGGGAAGGAACAAGCAAACTCGAAAGCCTAGAGTTCTTTGACAAGAGCAGGCAGCTCTTCAATCTCGACGAGCTCTTAAGATCTTCAGCAGAAGTTATAGGGAAGTCAAAACTTGGCACTACGTATCGAACAACGCTGGAGCAAGGCAACATTGTGGTAGTGAAGAGGCTCAGAGGTGTGAGTGGATTGAGCAGGAAGGATTTTGTTCAGCAGATGGAGATTCTTGGTGCGTTGAGACATGAAAATCTTGTAGAGATAATTGCTTTTTATTACTCCAAGGATGAGAAGCTGGTGGTTTATGAGCATGTTGGTGATGGGAGCTTGTCTCATCTATTACATGGTAAGCTTCTTCTCTTAACGTTTGGTTTGTGCCATAGATAAACCCTAGTACGGTTAATTGCCTATACATCTCTGAAATTTTGTCAGTGTTAACATTCTGATGTCCAAACAAAGCTATTTTTTCCCATTATCTATACATGCACTGCAGAGAAGGGTATGTTTTAAAACCTTACAAGAACAGAGGATCTCTCTGCAATACATTGAAATATCATTGGACCTCTCTGCAACACATTGAGATCATATGATAATCGCGTGACGTGTACATATCTCATGAAGATAAGGTTGTCTAGGTTCATATGGTAAATAAAAGTTTATGAGTTACAAATGACCACTTGCTCCATATTAAAGGAGGTTATCGCAAACCATGGAGTAATAGTTTCTAGGGAATGAACCAAATACGCACACAACATAACACAACATCCAAGTACATGTCAATGTACACAGAATTACAAGGATACAAAAAGTAGTGCCATAGCATACCACATACTTATTTCTTAACAATTATTTATATGACGCAATTTCATAATGGGGCAATGTGTATGAGCTGACAACTCATTTTACAAAATAAGCCGCCAAGAGATGAGAATTGTGAGGCTCACTTGCGCTGATGTGACTAGTAGATGAGTTTTACAACCCCACTATCGACTGGCGGCTCATATGTATGAATATACGTACGTATGTATGTACGTATGTACGTATGTACGTATGTATGTATGTACGTATGTATGTATTCCTTAACTAATGCTCGTCATATACATTATACGCGTAATTTCCAAACACTACATTGACATTACGTGTTTTTATTTTGTGACAGACAACAGAGGAGTAGGAAGACTCCCTTTAAACTGGTCTTCCCGCCTAAAAATTGCAAAAGGAATAGCAAAAGCCTTAGCCTACCTCCACCACTCTCTCCCCTCTCATAGAGTCCCACATTCAAATCTCAAAACCTCCAGCATCCTCATCCACGACCGCCGCCACCCGAAACTCACCGACTTCGGCCTCCTCCCACTCTTCCCCTCCCCCCACCTCGCCCAAGACCTCGCCATCCGATCCTCACCGGAGTTCTCTCAAGGGAAAAAACTCAACCATAAAACTGACATCTACTGCTTCGGTCTGGTACTCCTTGAGATCATCACGGGGCAAGTCCCCGAGGACCACGACGGGGATTTGCCATCGTGGGTTAGATCGGCGATTAGTTGCGACTGGTCGACGGACGTCTTGGATTTGGAGATTGTTGCGGAGAAGGAGAGGCATGGGGATATGCTGATGTTGGTGGACATTGCACTCCAATGCGCTGCAGTTGAGCCAGGAAGGAGGCCTAGCGTTAGTGTTTTGGTCGAGAGGATTGAGGAGATTAGTGAGGGAGAGGGATGATGAAGGGGGGGATTTGATTGAGATAATTCTTTTTATTATAACTTTACTTAGATTTTTATTTTTACTTTTTGCAAATTATAGTGTGTTTGCAAAGTTATAGAGCGAGACATGACACCCAATTGGTTAGGAGGTTGAAGGAGGAATTGGATGTCGTGTGATATTCTCCTCAATTTTGTTACAATTTTGTTTATATTTTTTTTATGGTTTTTTATTTATTTGTGATTCTTGATTCTAGTCAAAGGATGTCATTCTGGTGAGTTTTTTATGCGGACATGTTTGGTTGATAGGATGCATTAGAAGTAAGAAGTAAATTAAATCTATTACTTCTGAAATTATGAATTAGGAAGTAGCGGAAGTACTTCTTTTTTTGTTTGTTTCATAAACTTTTGAAAGTAGAGGAAATAATGTTTCTTCCCCTTCATTAACTTTTTTTTGTTTGGTAGCAATAATAAATATTGTTAGAAAGAGAAAAAGATGATTTTTAGGGATTTTATTTTGAGTATGAAAATATCCATATAATAACAAAAATGATTTTATTCCTAAATTAACTCAATTTCATCTACTTCCGAGGTACTCCGGAGCCTTGAGGGGAGGAAAAAGATTCAAGAAGTAGAGATGCCATGTAGGTGACACGTCAACTTCTAAGGAAGTATTGGAAGTAGCGTTTTCAAAGAAACAAACATACTTTTCTTTTTAAAAGTAACAAAAATGACGCCTATTTCATTCACTTCACATACTTCATAGCTACTTCCATGTAAATAAAAAGAAACTAACTTGCAGAGCATAATTTCTATTGGAGTATCCTACTTCGCGTGTAGGGTGGTCTGAGCCGATAGTTTGATTATAATTCATATCAAATAAACAAATATATTGAGGGTGTGTCCGGCAACTCCACGTTTAATCTGGTCTATCGGAACAAAATTAGTTTAAATTCATGCGGATCTTATAAGTTTGGCAAAGAACTGAATCAAGACTTAAATTAATTTTGTTAGCAATGATGAAGGATAGAAGGGACGAGGAGGGAAGGGGAAAAAAAAAAAAAAAAAAAGCTACAAGCCCAAAGTCTAAAAGATTTGTGTTCAAATCTGGTGAGTATGAATGTAATCCGACTTGCATCCAATAGGACCATTTTTTTCTTAGGTTCACTGTTTTCGTTGAAAGTTGCCTTCATCATTGATTCCATTAAAACTTCAATCGTTTACAAATGAATTCAAATAACAAAAATAAAAATTACAACTCTCTTGAAAATAAACACAAGAATCGTTTATCGACTCTTGCTTGCGTGGGTTCTTCGCCGGTGCCGGGGTTTATCCGTGGACGATCGCGGATTAGATCCGGTTATCGAAAAATTAACGGAGCTCCTACTTCACTAAGGAAGTATTTGCTTGAAGCGCTGAAATCGACCAAGCGAAATCAGTAGCTCTTCTCCAGATTAAGACTAAGCCTAATCTCAAGGAACGGACGGACGGGGGGAGGGGGAGATATGGGTTCAGATCCTTCGAAAGCCTTCCTCTTTATACTAAAGTTCGCCGGGATCTGACTTGCCTTCGCTGTAAATTCGTTCTCCTTTGACTCCTCAATCCGGCAGCACCTCACCCTCTTGATAATAATCTGCTCCTGTGAATTGAGCCACTAGGCCTGTATTTATAGGCTTCGGTTGGGGGTTTATGGATAAGAATGATGGATCTGACCATATCTTCAGTCAATAATGGTCTAACCATGTTTGTGGATGATATCAAGTCAGATGGGAACCCCTAGAACAGATAAATCCTGAGAAAACCGTTCAAAACTGTCAAAAACGCGTCCGGGGGTCGAAACAGCGCGACGGGTGAATCCGACCCACGGGGGGCGCGGGTCGGATGCAACGCGGGTTGGTTTCGT